CGCTGCGACTGCGCGCCGCCGACACCAAATCTGAACTGATCTAGTCTCGGCCATTTTCCTTCCGCCAACCCATGCAGATTACGGACCTCTGTTCCCTGCATTCTGGGTCAATGTCCCTATAACCTACATTTGTCCGGTTTGAATTTGAATTCGCCCCCGAACTGACTCCAATTTACACGTTGCCCATCACTGGAAACCCTAAACCCACTTTGCATCCCTGGTTTTCTCGATTAATCGATTACTGAGGGATGGCGACATAACAACCAAACTAGCGTTTCGGATGCTTGTTTCTCCGAAACGCTAGTAAAATATGGAAGACATCCCTCCTATGGACATCTTCCAGACATCTGTAAATCCGGAACTACCCTGAAAACACGGAGGATCATTTTGGGACATCAGGACAAGGCCCAACGAGGGATCACACCCACACATACTACCGAACAGCTTGTTGCGATGTCTTCTTCTTCCCCAGCTGGACATCGGATTGTGTTTGTTTTGGTTTTTTTTGGATGGATGACCACTAATGGACTTGGAATCTCGTCGCGGGAGCCAGGTGAGTACATAATCGCAGCAAACTTTTCTCACCAACACCTTCTCTTCCAGTGCTCGTCGTGGGTCGCTTGTAGGTCCGTTCTTACTGCTTCAAATCCCTCGCGTGATATATTCCTGACCGAAGGCGGAGCCGACCTAGTCCTCGTACAGGATCCTTGGGTAGTAGGAGGCAAGGTTGCTGGACTAGGAACAAAGGAATACAAGCTAATGCTTGACCCCAAAGAAGGTAAAATTCGAACCTGCATATTAGCCAAAAGGCATCTTAGTATATTTCCAAGCCATGTAGGTATAGCTGGTAATGAATTCGCCGATGAAGCTGCTAAAGCATCTACAATTTCCCCCTTAATAGCTTCAGCAAACATAAATAAATTAGATAGGAATAGATATTTAAAATCAACACTGCTTAATTATTTACCACACCTGATTAATAAAACCTCCACTTGGTATCAAACAACTAATGTCAGCCATCTTAACATTGCAATGTCTCGGTCTCATACATGTTGTTCCCTATCCTTGACTTGACTTGATACTTAACAAATTTCTTCGCGAATTTGGCATTATAGTTCTGGCCGAAATTACTCAAAGTAAAGTTCTTCCGGTATACTTCCTGTCCGACTGCGAATCGTACATTTCGTGACCTCCGGTTGTACACAGCTGCGCTTCTTTTGTATGCCTTGTTTGAATTCTTCTGAATTTCTTCGCGCATCAGGACGATCTTAGATTCTCTTGGCAGAACATACAGTTCATTGTCTTTTAATGCCTTCAAACGTCTCGCCAGTTGGTAATCTGCCCCGTTGGTGAACATATTTTGCCCAAACAGAGCGAAATATGGAGATACTCCAGTAGCCTGATGAACCGCTCCTCTGAGCGCACACTCAATCTCCGACAGATACAGATCCCAATCTCGGTGATTGTCCTCTAAATAGGCTCGAATTGCATTTAGAACAGACTGGTTGACTCTTTCCGCCGCATTTGACTGAGGTGAGTAAACAGCGGTCCGAATGTGCTTAACTCCATATTCCTTCAGAAATTCCGAGAACTGCTTGGAAACAAATAGTTTCCCGTTATCGGAATGTAACAATTCCGGAACCCCAAACTTGTTAAACACCTCCTGCCTTAAAAATCGAATTACTCCCGCAGAGGTTGCTTCCCGCATGCCTTTAAGGAGTGCGAACTTCGAGAAATGATCAACTACTATGAACACATATGAATTCCCTCCTCGAGACCTCGGATACTTTCCCAGAAAATCGATGTATATTTTCTGGAATGGCCTAAGTGTAACCACTTCATCTCGTTTAGACCGCAGAAACACATAATCTCCATCTCCAACGAGATCTGGGAAACGTTCTTCATGTGATAATACCTCCTTCCTAAACTCAGCGTACTCTGGAGACTCGAATTCTGTCGTCTCGAACCCCAGCAAGGGTTCTAAGTCAATTGACTCTATCATCCTGGAAAGAGTGTCAGCCACTACATTTTCTGAGCCCTTCCTATGTTCTATAACAAAGTCATGGATCTGCAACTTTTACGACCAACGAGCAAGCCGCCCATCCAGGTCCTTTAATGACATCAGCCACTTCAGGCTGGCGTGGTCTGTTATAATAGTCTGAATCGTTTCACTCCGAGGATGGCCGCCAGACATTCCTTTTCTGTGACGCTGTAATTCTTTTGGCATTTGTTCAGCTTCTGTGAGAAGTATTCAATGGGTCTTTCGTTTCCCTGATCATCCAGCTGGAATAGCACTGCCCCAACTCCCGTGTCGGACGCATCGCACTGTATGTAAAAACGCCGTTACGAGTGCAGTTTTCAGGGTTTCTATGGCTTGCTGAGCCGCGGGGGTTAGGTGGAATTTCCCACTCTTCTTCAAGGTACCTGTAAGAGGGGCGGAAATTTCTGCGAAATTATGGATGAACCTGCGGTACCATCCTGCTGTACCCAACAGACTACGAACCTCCCGCGCATTTCGGGGAACATTTTCCTACTTCTTTCAAAATGGACAGATGTGATTCGAGGTCTGGGGTTACCATCAGTAGATCGTCGAGATAAACAAAGACTTTCTCCCGTAGTTTGGATGGGACGACCTTATCCATCAACCGACACAGGCTTCGACCCGCGTTACAGAGCCCAAAGGGCATTACGACGAATTGGTATGAAGGCCTTCCAGGGACAGTAAATGCAGTGATCGGTCGACTCTCTTTCTCCAGCTCGATTTGCCAATAAGCATGTTTCAGGTCGACTCTGCTGATAAATATGGTTGAGGCAATTCTGCTTAGGGTTCCATCTATGTTTTGAAGTGGATACGCGTCCTTCTTTGTCACTTTGTTCATCCTGCGCGCGTCCAAACAAAGCCTATTTTTCCCAGGTTTCATGACCAACGTCACAGGATTGTTCCAAGCACTTTCAATTTCCTCGATGACGCCAAGTCGCAACATCTCATCCACTTCAGCATAGACCACCGCCTGTTTTGCCGGAGACATCGGATAGTGCCTTGACTTCACTGGTACCGCTCCTTCTTCCAGTTCTATCCTGTGCTTTAGAAGCTTAGTTCGTCCCAATCCAACCTTTTCGTAAGAAAGAAACACTCCTCGGACTTCAGCGAGTCGGGATTCCTGGGACGCCGATAGTTGATGACGCTCGGGTTCGACAGTTGTAACTTCCTGCGACTCTACCAATTCCTCGACGCCACCTCCAAATAGTTCCGGAGCAATATTGAACTCCTTCCAAAAGTCTACCCGCAAATACAACTGTTGCTTTAAAGCAGGACATAGATACAAACACATGCTGGCCTCCCGTCCCCAGAAAACCACTCTCACAATGACCTTGCCTAGTATCCGTTGATCTTCGCCGTTCGCTGTCTTCACGTTTCCCCTGTATGGTAACCAATCCAATCTAAGTCGATCCACCAACTCCTGGCAGCCGGTACCTAAGACGCTAATAGAAGCTCCGGAATCCAACAGTCCTTGGATCTCCTGATCTGCTATAGTCGCTGTCGCGTAGGGCCTTGGATCGTCGTTAGTATACTTAAGGGATTCTATTTGTGATATCGTGCGCTGGACCTCCTGCCATTCCATTTTCCTCTTTTTGAAGCGCTGCCTGGCCTTGTGAATCCGTTTGGTTACAGCTGTCATTCCCTCCAGTTGGTGGTCCTTAAAAATGCGTTCCCGAGCCTCCTTGTATCGACGCCATCTCTCCTCCAGTGGTATAGCCAGTCTTCCTTGCCATTCCACCCTTGATCCTGCGTTTACTTCGCACGACTTTGGGTCATTGGGGTTACACCGACCGGCTCCCGTCCGGAACGCAACTCCACTGGGTTTATTACGTTCCCCTTCGAGTTTCCCGGATTGCAGTTTGGGCATTTAGGCGTCAACGTGTCGGCTCGCCCGCATTTGAAACAGAAGTAGGACTTTTGCGGTGTTTCACATTGCTTGTAGACGTGCCCGGCTTGTTTGCAGTTCCAACATACCACGGCTTTCCGCTGGCTGACAGATTGGATGGCCTCTACTAGTCCTCCCTCGCTTTCATCTTCGACTACTGTCCGGAAATTCTGGTCTGGAATGCTACTGTACTGGACTTCGTCTACTCTCTGCCCTCGAAATTCTAGTCGTCTGGGGGGTACCGCTCGTGGTGCAAAAGCTCTTTTGGCTTCTCGACATTCGTCTCTGAGATGCTCCAAGGTGTATGCCCGAATCGGAAACACGTACTGCTTCAAGGGCTCGCACAGATTACGCTCGACGGTCTTCCATCATCCATTCTTCCGTAATTGGTAACCGCACCGCAGCCCTCAGTCTTCGCACCGCGTGGAAGAAAGAATCCAGAGACTCTCCTGGCATTTTCCTCTGCTCACTCAGGTCCTGGATCCTCTCATAGTCGCATCTAGTGTCGCTATACCGACGCTCAATAGCCGTCCGCAATTCCATCCAGGTTGCTATGTTGTTAGTACGGACTAGCAGCCAATACCATTCCGCCGCACCGTCGACCACCAAGCGGTGAAAGTTTCGGATAAGATCCGCCCAAGGCGTGCCATAATGCTGCCTTAAGTGCTCGACTCGAAATATAAATTCTTCCGCACTCATCCCATCGGAGGTTCCAGAGAACTGTATCCCCCATTTGTGCACTGGGACACAGTGTCCTCGTTGAGAATACCCGTAGACTTCATGATTCCGCCGAAGAGTCCCTTGACGCCCTTCCGTGTCTCTTGGTTGATGGCTTCCACTGGAAGAGGAACCTGGTCGGAAGTGTATACCTTCCTGTTGAAGATTCTGCTGATAACTCGACGGACCGATTGGCTGACGTTGTCCAGTAGGGCCAGGATTTGCTTCCGGGTCATTCCTGAATCGGTTTTGTATTGTCGGCTGTTTCGCAGGTTGACGACTTCCAAAATGACCGCCCGCAGGGTGTCCCTGAGACCTAATTGATGGTTCATAGAGATGTTTTCCTCTCGACCTGCCTCATCAACTCAGCAAAGCCTTCTTTGATATTTTTGTCAATCTTGTCGCCGATAAACCGTTCCATTTCAGCTCGAAACTGGTTCTGGGATTCTACCACAAAGTTCCTCAAATCGCTACCATGGCCCTGGTTGTCGACTCCTTCGAGGCTATACTGTTCTTGGATCGGATCTAGCTGGATGTGTGAAAAAGTCGGTATTGGTGTGAAGTTGTCGCCAAGCTCTAATCTTTTTGGGTTTCCCACCCGGTTTAGAGTGTGAAACGGCATTGGTTGCAGTGGGGGACAAGTGAATGATCCTGCGTTCCCTACAGGGGTCTTAAGGTTCCCGCAATCTTCCATATTATTTCCATTCTTACCCATTTTAATTTGATGATTTATTTCTTCAAAAATTGTTAATTCGTAATTTTTTCTTTCAGGAAACAGAAGGGGAAAGAACTACTATAAACTGTCCCATACTCTACGGTGAACTAATCTGCGGCGCTATTTCTCTAATGGACTGTCCTCGACCTTGGAACATGATAACAACATTTAACGTTTAACACAAAGCAATGACAGAGTCGGCTCTTTCCAACTTCGACTCAGTCGAAGTTTGGGAGTCAAGGGTGTCATTTTATTTAGTAATCAAAAATCCAAGTTTCTTCACTCGCCATCATCCCATCGACCTCTCGATACATCTTAACCGCCGTTCGTCAGTCAAGGACACCGAGGAATCATCCAGAAGCTTCTGAGACTCCTGTTCTTAAGAAACTCAGGACTCCGGATTTCGGTTGTATTGGCGACTGCCTGAAGAAAAAGGATCTTTTTACGTCCCACCGACTGTTGCTCCTGTATCTCGATCGCAAATCTTCCAGTTTGCTTGGACCAGCTGATGTCGTCGAGAAAGGAAAACAGTACAGAACGTTTTCTTTCTTTTCTTACTTTCCTAATCCAAACTTTATTTCTCGTCTTTCCCCCAGATCTTTCTGCTGTTCGCCTACCGGTCAGACGAGGACTTCAAAAAGATCTATGGGAAGAGGAAAATCCAGTTGGAGCCTGGTGC